AGGCGAGAGAGCTGAGATCATCTATGATGCAAGTGTGCTGCGCTGTGAATTGTGGCACTACCATCAGAAATGGATGCTCAGCGTCCTCATGTGTCACATTTTGGGGTGGGACAGAAGCGTGCCTAAGTTTCCTGCCAGATCTGACAGCTTGTGTCTACAGGATCATCAGCTCACTGTGGCTGTTTGTTTGTTTGTTTTTTGTTTTCTTGGGGGGAACAAAGAAAGTCAGTCAGAAATATTGAAATCAAATTTTATTTTTGGAAAATGACATTACACCCATCTTGCAAATGTACACAGAAATGAGAAAGCAATGAAGAACAGTGCTTGAGAGCCAACATGATTGCGAGGGCAGCTCTTTCTTTGGCTGCCCTGTACTGAACACCGTGAAACCTCAGCATCCACAGGTCACGACACCTTCCACACATGGGGATTTCTCTAGACCTTCAAGCCCTCGAACCAAAAAAAACCAAAAAACCCCTCATCCAATTGTGGAGAGAGGAAGAAGGATGTTAACTGGCACAGGATATGGAAGGGGTCTGCTCTAGCTGGCTTACATGGGCCTTACCAAACCTACAGATCCAAATGGGAACCTTGCAATCAAATAGCAGAATGCCTTCTTGGAACACTGCTTTTGAATCCCAGTGGAACAGTAGGCCAGGCCTTGCCTGGGAAATGGAGAGCAATGCATGTCAACCCATGTCCTCATCTTTTTGAGCTATAAGGAGTCTCAAAGGGTGACCAAGATTCCTTCAGTATGTTGTGTTTCTCTTGTTGCTTGTTTTGTTGTCAAGTAATTGTTGGTTAAAGCAGAGCAGTCTGAGATCTTCCAAATACCCCAAGAACTGCTACAGGAATCAGGGGCATCTTTCTCTATTTTCCTGCAATAATGTATGATTCTGAGCACTATTGAATTCTGCAATGTGATCAAATGGCCCAAGAAACTCCCAGTTGGCCACTTATTTTTATGCAAAGTGGAGTTGAGTCTGATCACAATGCTATTCTTTGAGAAATGGCCAGTAACTACTGAGAGGCTATTGAAAAATGTCCTCCCTCCTCTCTTTTGGTATGTTTGGTCTTTGCGAACGTTAGCTGGCAAGAATTATTGGCACCCAGAGAAGTTATTTACAACTGCCAGACACCTGCGAGCAGGGGGAAAGGAGAGGGCAAGGGAGGGAAGAGGGGCCACGAGGAAGAATATATTCTTTTCAGAGGTTAAAATGAGTTATTTAAGAAATGTGATGTACAATACCATGCATTTACTCTCCAAAGCTAGTCACTAGCAAGCTAACACCTCTAACACTACAACCACCAATTACAGTTGTTTGCTACAGTTATTGAGTTCTAACTACAGCTATAGGGCAAAAAGGGTGGGCTGTTTCCATTTTAAACTTTCTCCCTTTAAAAAATGGCCATAAAAGTGTTTTCTGTACAAGTTAATGGCACCTTAAGGTGACCAAAAACATTCGAAAGAACTCACCACACATGGGAGATGCAAAATTCAATCAAAACATGCACTGGCTGTGTACAAGTTGTGGAGGATCATTGGCTTCAAGCTGCAATATATTACAGGACCATACATTGGAGACATTTTGGCATAACCTCTTGTTTGCGCAATCCCTTTAAGAGAATTTAGAAAGAACAGTCATTGGAAAGGGCAGTGCATATGCTAGTACCAAGCGGTGACATTCTCAAAGGCTATGCACTCTGTTGAGTGAATTAGCTCCTAAAAGCTGGCTTCTTTACATCCACTCATCATGCTCATATGGACTGCTTGGGGAGTTGGTGTCAAAAGTATATGTTTAAGTTAATCTAATAACAGAAGGAAGAAGATGTGTTGATTAAATGAACATTTCTTTTCATCACATGGATTTGTTAAATACCCTTTCGTTTAAGTCAACTCCAATTCCCTACCAGTTGAGCTAAAACCACTCAACAGTTGGCACACCCCAAACATAAGGTTGTAACAGAGAGCTTAATGGGTAATGATGAAGTTTTAAACACATTATTCCTTCCCCTACCCCTCCCCTACCCCGACCTAACCAAATGACAAAAAATGCACCAGAGGTCTCTCATTATATTATATTGCAGCTTTCTTAACTATGAGCAAATTAAATACAAACAGTTACTAGGATTGAGCTAATATGAATCCATGGGTAGACTTTTCTGTCCAGCTGATTCTTTGAGCACGCTTTATGGTTTTTTAAAGATGGCATACTTAAAAAAAAAAAAAGGATCACCAAAAATGCTGTACAGTGCTTAGAAGAAAAGACCCAAGTATACATGAGCTATAAGCACACTGCTTATGAGGATCATCTGGGGAAGATTCCAACTGAGAATGGAGAAAAAGAAAGGGCCAGGATCAGGTGGGTTCCCACCAATATCATTCTGACTGGATTAGTCTAGCACCAGGGATGGATTCATCTGGAAATAACTTTTCATCAGTCCCAAGGCAAAATCATACGATTAAGAAGAAACCTATGCCTAGTGCCTAAACAGGGCAATAAATAGAGAGAGGGAGAGAGAGAGCAAGAGCGAGCGAGAGAAATTATAGAGGCCGGCAGATAACTGTTTTCACTGGAGAAAGAGAGTGATTACCATCATGTGTAAGACTGAGAGCAAACAGTGAATTCGAGAAAGAAAAGACGCAAAGATCCCCAGGGGAGGTAGAGGGTGGCAAAAAGCCAAGGATTTCCTCAGGTCTTTGCCTCAGTTCAGAGAAGGTGCTTATGCTTTTGCGGAACCTTCTGAACTCTCCCAACTAGCCTACCCTACTCATCAGGAAGAGGAAGATGCCTTAATCACCAATGGGAATGCTGTACTTCCCTAGCCTCCGGCATCCAAGGTAACCCCAAACCCCCTCTGATTCCAAAAGACATTGAAGCCACTAAACGAAGGGAAAGAAAGGGAGGCACGTAAGGGAGGGGCTCAAGAGTCCTCTCAAATGATAGAGAACCCGTGTCGCACTTAGCGAGGCCGCAGTGGGAGGCCCGTATGGATCCTAAGAGTCTGTGGGTCAACCAGTCTGCCAACAACTGAACTGAGATTTTTCATTACATCTGTACTACCCAGCCACTTGCAGCAGTGCAACTGATTCACAGACTTTCTTGTGAAGAAGACATACTTACAGAGCCACCGCATAGGAGGATGTCCATGCTAACAGCAAGAATGGCCTCTGGCTGGGGATTTAGTTTGGCACTGCTGTTTGCTGCTACTTCCAGGACTGGCTATTCCATTGGGAAAGATGGCTAAGATGATCTCAGAGGTGCCAGAGTAGGGCTGGTAGGTCAAGAAGACCCTAGGAGGCCACCCCTGCCTATATTTTAAGGGTGGATGCAAGCAGGATAAAACACATGCGAGGCTGTATGTAAGGGTTTAGAAATGTGTCTTCTTCCCTGCCCATCGTGTTTGCCTCTCTGCAACAAAAGCTGCAAGCCTTTTTACCTACAGAAGAAGTGAGGTGGACCAGCCAGAGGAAAAATAACAGTGGAAATTCATTTCAGAGCAATAACACATAATATCTGGGTTATTATCACAGCCCTAGAGCCAGAGTAAACACAGTCCATTGAACGTGGACAGCACTAGACTAGGCCTGGGCCACCCATCTCCAGGAACCTGAAGGAGATGCCTCTGCAGACAAAGGGTAAGTGCACTGGCTCACTCCTGACATACCAATGTCTGAGCCTTTGCTCTCTCTGGCCTCCAGGCTCTAAAATATAGAATTCCGGCCCCTTTCCCTTTCCCAGATGAGCACCCAAACAGTGATGACTTACTTTGAACACCGGTGTGGGCCTAAAAGTCAAATCCCCGAGTGCAATGAAGGAAACGCCAGAGGGAAACATGGCAGGGCCAAGCGGCCAGAGGCAGGCTTTCTTCAAAGAACAACAACACAACCAACTCCAGTGCCCTTTATTCCCAGAGAAAACCGGACAGTGATGGTGATCATTCAAATCCTATCGTCCCCGGGGCCCCTCTCTAGGGGATATTTCTTGGAAAAGATGCTTCTGAGGAAGGCAGCCAGCCCATCGGGAAGATATCCATCGGTGTGCTGGAACTCCTTCTGGGGACCTGGGCATGCTGCTCCCTTGTCTCCAAGAGATGTGATTCGAGAAAAGCATTTGGGAATCAAAGTTGAGAGACCTTGGAGGCATTTTCTACCCAGAGGATTGGAGGGAGTCGTGAACATGGAGACACTTGTGTTCAAGACCAGCAGTGGACTATTGGTCTAAGAGCTGGGTCAAGGGATTCGAAGAAGGCTCTTTGGTTTGCCTTCTTAACCAGCTACTCGAAGTGTCCTGGGCGACATCGGATTATGAAGGACAAGTAGGAGGGAGAGAGACGTTCCGGAGAAGTGAGGTAAGCCCAGAAGGAAGTTTCTTATAACTGCACTAATGAATAACTCAGGAAAAGCCTCGCTCGGTGGAAAATTTCGTTTCCAGACTTTGTTGCCCTCGTTTCTGCTGGGGAAGGTCACACGAAGCAGGGTATGCTGTGTTGATTATTATGCTGTGCCTGCTCTTTTGGTGTGAACATAAGAAGTCAATGTCTAATATGACTGGGGGTATATTGAAGTCACACAGCTCCTTGCTTACACCTGGAAAGTGGCCCCATCGGGGCAGGCACGGCTCTGGGGAATGGCAGAGGGGGCAACTTATGTTGCTGCATCGCCGATGTTGTTTTCTTTAGCTGGCCCCTCTCTCACGTTCTCAAAGAAATCGCCCAGATTTTCAGAGAAATCGCCCAGATTTTCAAAGAAAGAGTTGCCAGGCAGTGGTCCCCGCACTCATTTAAAAAATGCTGAAAAGCTATCTCGGAAAGTCGGGATGTCCGCATCTATCATTCTGGTCTTCCTTTCTTCCTTCCCCTGCTCTGGCATAAGAAACCTTTCACTCACGCAGCCTGGGGACCAACCACGATGAGGTTGCATGAGTCCGCTAAGAAACTAGTCTTCCTTCATTTGACAGGACAAGAGCTGAGCGGTGGGGGGGCGGAGGGGGGGGCGGGGGAGCAAGGTCTCTTCTGGGGGCTCCTCAAGGTGGGGCCGTGGTCCCCTGAGTTGAATGCAAAAGACTGGGAATCCCATTGTTCCTGGTGGTCCTCAATCCTCCCTCTGTCTTTGGGGACATCTGCAGCTCACGTAGATAGGAATCAAGTGACTGTGGGGAGAAAGAGCTGTATTTTTGCTGGGTGGATTTCCCACTGAGATCAGGGCAGTTGCATATGGCTCCAAGATGCAACTTGACCCTGGGAAAGAATCCTCAGGAGCTTCATGCAGTGCAACACAGTTTAATGGGCAAGGGCCCTGGAAGCTGAGCCCAAAGATGTGAGTTCTAATCCTAGCCCTGCCTGTAGCTAGCTGTGTGACCTTGGGGAAATGAATGAACTTCGGTGTCTCCGTTTCCTGTCCTGAAAAAAACGAGCGATTTGAAGGATATGATATGATCTTAAGGTCCTTTCCAGCTAAAAACCGCTATGATTCCACCTAGGCTAATACTAAAGTCCGTAAGGACACAAAGCAGTCACGCTAATGGCTATCCTTTCCAGAACAGTGGAGAGAAAAGGAAGTTTTCTCTCCATTTAAACCTAGATAACACGACTAATGATGTTGCTCAGCCCAGCCCTCATCTATGTATATACATGGTCCCCTTCGTTGTTCCTACGTCTACTTGTGTAGGGGAGAAAACTCTGGAGGTAGGAATAAGCTACAGATGGAGTGTGTGTGTGTTTGTCCGTGTGTGTGTGTGTGTGTGTGTGTGTGTGTGTGTGTGTGTGTGTGTGAGAGAGAGAGAGGTGGTGTTTGGAAGGGGCAGGCAAAAACTTGTTGAATGACTGCCTACTGTGTGTAAGACAAAATTGGGTAAAATTGGAAGTGGTTGAGGCGAGTGAAGGAGTTTGGCTACAAAACTAAAAAGAACAACCCAAACCAGCCTTAACAAACAGGCCCCTTGAAAATGCAATTATTGGAGGCTCACATTTTAAATGAGGCCAAGATACCCTGCAGTGGACCATTGCCTTGTACTTGATTAAAAGCAGGATGAAGGAAGCATGGTTAGTATATAAGCCAGTTGATTCCCAGACCATTCTAAAGAAAAGGTATCTGTTTCCTACATTCTAGTGCCCAAGTGCTGCCAGCAATGTAATGCACAGAAAGCGAGCGTGGAGCCTCGAGATGAGGAGCAGGGATGCTTCCTTGGCTTCTGCCCTTTATCAGCAAGTCATTTAACTGCCTGGAGCCTCTGTTTTCTCAACTTAAAAATGAAAGTATTGGACAAAATTATCTCTTGCCAGGAGATCTGGAGAGAGACCAGGGGTGGGCCTTTTAGGCTTCTGGCCTGAAGTTCAGAAACAAGTCTTCCACTCTCTACCCCCACTTCCCAAACCCAAGTACCCAAATTTCCCACTAAGCACAGACTGTTCTGGGAACATTAAGGGTTCCCTGGGCTTCTAGAAAGAAGTAAAATAAGCTCCTTGATGGTCTTTGCCAGGTCTAAAAACAAAGGAGGAGGGCAAAAAGAGACTCTTGTAATTTGGGATTCCTTAGAGAGCAATTTAACCAGAAACCAAGACTACCCATCTGTGGACTTTTCCTGAACCATCCATATTTCTGGTAGTTAAAGTCACGTGAAGCTTGTCTCACGGCATCTGGGCTCCCTCTTCCATCGTTGGGTTTTCCCCTACCCAATACCCGATGCCTATCAGCAATGTCACCCAGCTTCCACACACCTCTATCAGGATGTCCTATAATGTATCCTAATTACGAAGTAGCTGCACACGCACACACACACACACACACATACACACACCCCAAGCTCATTCCGGTTAGAGCGGGGAAGTCATTCAGTAGCCAAACAGCAGCTTGGCTTCAAATGTTGCACCTTTCAAAAGGTTCGAACAATGACAAACAACTAAGGAAATCTTCATCTCTGCTAAGAGCAAACACAAACTTGGCATGCATGGCTTTCACTGAAATGTAGTTGTTTTTGCCCTTATGGGCAATGCTTACCGACAAAAGGCAGTGCTACGAACCTGTACTTCAAGGACTGAGTACTATTTCAGATGATCAGTCCTCAACAAAGAGAAATCCTCTATTTGAGTTACAAAACAAGGGAAAGCTTACTGTGTCTTCAATATGAAAGATCAGGCTTGTAGATAAAAAAGAGCTGTTGAAAATATGCCATAGCATTTCCTTGAAAATATAATTAGAATGTCTGGTCCACACGTAAGTTATTCATGTAAGCGTAACTGTTAAAAAGCTATCAAAAGACTGATTCTATTGAATTGGCCTCGGCTATTCATTTTGTTCTTTTTTTTTTTCCTGGAGGTTTCTGTTTGGCAGTGACAGCATGATTTCTAAACTACAGTATCCTTCTGAATTTTTTTTTTGGTACATTTTCTGCATGTGTTTTTTAGACAAAAGAAAAGTCACCAGTTTATAAAAAAGGAGCCTGAAGAGTTTGCTCCTGAAGTATAGATGCAAGCTTGGGTTTTTTTGATATAAAAAGGATATTGATTTCTGGCTATAAAAAGTGACCGAAAGGTGTCAGACCTGAAAACAAATTCTCACAGTGTTTTCAGTGTTGGCTGTTTACAAGGCATTCAATAGAACAGAGATAGATGGATACCATGCAGTTCTTATAATAACTCGATAGGTTTGACAGCCTCCTAGAGGAATTGGCTATATGAAGTCCCTCACCTCCAACCCATATCAATTGCTTATTGATTCCAACTTGCCCCTGTAGAAAGGTTGACAAAGAATTCACTGTGCTTTGTAATGCTACTGAAATGTCTGCAGTATTTCCCAGTCCTGCCTAGTCTCTTTGAGTTAGCCCTAAGCCAGGGGCCTAAGCAGCTGGTGTCAGAATGACAAGTTGCTGGTGTTTCTCCCCTATGACAGCCAGACTTAGTGCTAGACAACACATGGGCTGAAGCAGAAGGGAAGACCGAGGCGGGGGAGCTGCCTGCCATATTCCCAGGATCCTCCAGAATTCTTGAGATTGGTAGACAAGGGGCTCTTGTATTTGTCACTCTTGGATCCGCCAATGAGGTCCCCCCCACCCACCCAACCATTTTCAGTGCTTTGTATGCAAGCAACCTTCTACAGGAGGAAGGCTGTCCTGCATGAGTGAAACAAGACAGGGGGAAATCATTCAGGCGCCTGAGCATTCAATAGAAAGGTCATGGACTGGCACATGTTGCATCCCTGGAAAGTGACCCCCAAAGGATGGTTATCAATCTATCTCTCATAATTGGTAACTGTGGATCAGTGGCCCAGAGGAGAAATCACAGGAAAAGGAACTCAACAGATTACAGTATGTTTTCCAAAAGAACAGCAACAGGAACGACAAATAAAACCTTGAAAGCACCAATAGCCCGGATGGACACTTGAGCAGAAGGATTCTACTGTAACGGTAAGATTGGATTTGGACTCTGGACTCTGAGCACTGTCTTCCCCTCACATGGAGTCGCCCAGGGAATCAGAGTCATCCAAGGAGAGAGGCAGGTACAGGTCCTGTAAGAAGAAAAGAAATACAGTTAACGTTCCCTTTTCTTGACATGTTGGACCCTGGAATGGGCAAGGTCATCAGAGTGTTTCTATTTCATAAAGTTTTATTTTGAATTTCAATTTTAGAATAATGATCCATTCACCGAAACCGCAAACTCACTGCCACCGGGTCGATGCGGATTCACAGCACACATTACAGGGCAGGCTCGAACGTCCCCTGTGGATGTCCAAAGCAGTCATTCCTCAGGGGAGTCATTATCCTCGTATTTCTCCCTCGGAGTGGACAAGGCCACTCCGAGCACTCCTCCCCTAGTTTCTTCCAATAGTAGCATCTTAGCATTGCATATGTGTTTGTGTAGCTGTTTATACTGTATTTGGGGGCAAAAAAATCTATAATACACATTCTTTGCTTAAAATAGGATAGCTCTATGTACTTTTTTTCGTGTTTCTTCGTATGACCACCACCATCACCAAGACTCCTATATCTTATGCCCTTACCAAACAAGGGGCTTTCTCATACCACTCCTTTCTATCCTCCCATCCTTCAGCTCTGTTCCCCACCTCTGTAATTTTGCTCTATCAGGAATGCTTTGTAACTGGAACCATGGGGTCACGGGCTGCAACCTTGGTCACTCCGAGTAGTAATTGTCTTGAGATCCATCCAAGCTGCTGCCTGTGTCACCAACAGGGCATTCCTTTTTATTGCTGAGTAGTATTCCACAGCACACATTGACCCTGTTTCTTCAACCATTCACAGGTTGAAGGGCATCAGGTTTGTTGCTAGTTTGGCGCTATTGCAAATCAGGATGTTAAAAGACTTTTGGAATAAACATGAATCTTCATTTCCCCGGGACAGATGCTTTAAATACCCAAAACCAAACCTGCTGCCACTGAGTCGATTCTGACTCAGTGACCCAGAAGGGCAGAATAGAACTGCCCTTGTGAGTTTCTGAGATTGTACCTTTTTATGGGAGTAGCAAGTCCCATCTTTCTCTGAGCAGTTGGTGGTTTTGAACAGCTGGCCTGAGTACTAAGTGACCCTGTATGATAGAGTACAATTGCTCCATAGGGTTTCATGACACATAAAAAGAGAAGTTAGACACCAAAGAGGAATGGAAAATATAGGACAGATTCTTTGGCTATTTTAGAGGTCCCTTTTGAGGACACCAAAGTCAACTGGTGTAACGTAGTCCACAAAGACACTGGATGGAGTGAGAGGAAAAGGTGGGACTGAATTCAAAATCATAAAAGAGGTTTGGCTTATTGGTTGGATAAAGACTGGTGGAGCCCTCAAGACATGGCCTTGGATCACCCTCTAGGTTTCTCTGCAAGCAAAAGGCAGGTCTATAAGGGGAACAATAGCACTTGTGAGTTCTGCATACCTCAGAAGAGTCAACCACGTGAGATCAAAAGGGCAGCCTTTACCCAAGAAGAAAGCTTGGGGTTAGAAAAGGTGGAGGAATGGAAACAGGAAAGACAGACAGAAAGTGGGATAAACGCGAACACATTGAGGGGATTGTAGTCAATGAGAGGAAACAGAATGTGTATGAATTGTTGAATGGAAAACTAATGCTCTGCTCTGTAAATCTTCACCTGATTCACAAGACAAGGTAAAAGATGAAAAAAGAGCGAGAGCAAGAGAGAGCGAGCGAGAGAGCGCAAGCGAGAGATTCCCTTTAATATAATGAACACACAAAACTTCAGGAGAAGATGATCCAAGACAATGGAGGAGCACAGAGTCTGGAGGTGGATGAGAATGTGGGATGAGAAAGTGGGAAGAGTAAGAGAACAGGGACTTATTTGGCTAACTGAGAATGGATTTATTCTTTCTTCTTTTCTTTTTTCTGATAAAGGGCAGGAAGATATTTAGGAAACTTAGAATGGAAAGAGGAATCAATTGCATTCAGAAACCTAGAGGTTTTCATCCTAATTAGTACTCTGACATTGAGCAAGCCACTACGTCTTGGTGTCCTCGGCAACCAAACAATGAGTTTTGACTGGACAATTTGAAGTCTCTTCCAGTTCTGAAATTATGAGTGACTCTCAAGAGTGTCTAATGATTTAAAAACACAGCAAATGCAACTCTAACAAATAGATTTACTTCTCAACAACCCATCATCCTTTCACTACTAGTGGGGAATTTGGCAAACTTTTTATGTAAGGGGCTCGCACGGAGTATTTTACCCTTTCATTTATGGGTCACCTAGCTGTTTAGTTCTCAAGTCCTTGAGTAAGGTGAAAACTGAATGTAGTCAAAAATATTTTCCAGCTCTGGACTCCCAGAATGGTGGAATAAGAACTTTTGAAAATGGACCCTTAAAAGCCCTGATAACGCTGGCAAAAAAAAAAGTGAAAATAAACTTTGTCAGTACTCTAGAAATTAACCAAGGACTTGCAACCATCCAAGAAGAGTGTATTCATGAAAACCGCTGGGATCCGGTAGGAATACCTAGCTTTGTCAACCTCCCCCGCTGCATTCCTCTCTCCCTAGCTCCGGACTCCCTTTGAAACAGACTCACAGCTCTCTGAACCAACAATCCAGTCGACTGCTAGTCGGTCCATTCTCACTCACAGCTGCCCCATGGGAGTCTCCCAGGTTGAAACCTTACAGAGGCAGACGTCCACATCTTTCTCCTTCAGAGGACTTCGCCTAAATGGTTAGCAGAACATTGTTTTAACTACTGCCTTCCTGGGGTTCCTGCTACAGTGGTTATAACAGCCATCAGCTTCTCAGTCCCTGGAGGGGCCCTGGTGGCGTGGTGGTTACTGGGGCTGCTGTCTGAAAGGTCAGCCATTTGAAACCACCAGCCAGCACTGCAGGAGAAAGACTCAATATCAGTGAGTTTGGTTTGGTGTATCCGTCACTGGAAAGTGTTGAGAGCGCCATTCCAAATGCCCCATTTCTGGATAAGTGTCACTCTTTGATCACTCCCACTCATTCCCTGACATTCTCCGAAAAACAACGATGGAGAAAATTCACTGCCACCAGCACAACCTGCCTACAAGGCAGTAATACTAAAGGGCATTACACAGTAACTCACATTGACACAAAGAACACCAGTCAGAGAAAGCCAAAGCCTATACCACCTAGTTCATTCTGGCTCAGAGCCATGCTACAGGACGGGTGAGAATTCCCCCTATGAAGTGTCTGAGATTGTAATGCTTTATGGAACTAAAAGGCCCCATCTTTCTCCTGTGGAGTAGCTGGTGGTTTTGAACTGCCCACTTTGTGGTAAGCAGCCCTTCACGACCCACTCTGCTACCAGGGCACTTTAGTAAAGGTAAAGGAATAGGCAAATACAACAAAGAGTGCCACTTTTTTTTTTTCCGGATGATTTTTGTAACTTTTCTTTCACGGTGTAATTGAAAAGGTAATTACTCATTATAAAACTGTGTTGATGTGCTTATTAAATATAAAGATGTAAATTTATATCAAGAACAGCTCAAAGGAGGGGATAAGGTATAGATTTATATTTCAGTAAAGGTTTGTATATAACTGAATTAAATTGGCATTCATTCCAAGTAGATTATATTAAGATGTTAATTATTATCTTGGGGGCAACCGCTAAGAAAATATGGGTTTGTTTTTTTTAAGGAATATAAGAGGAACACTAGAAACGATCTATCTGACACAAAAAGGGCAGGAATCAAGGAATGGAAGAACAAGAAAGATATCTTTCATTGTCCCGAAGTCCATTTTAACACATAGCAACTCTAGGAAAGAGTCGAACTGCCTCTGCGGGTTGCTGATACTGAGAATCTTTACAGGAGCAGAAAGCCTCATCTTGTCCCCCACAACAGACATAAGAAACAGAAAACAGTTGCTATCAATCCTACTGCTACAGTAATTACAGGAAGCATAGATGGAGTTAGCCCTAATATGAAAAGTCATCCGTGAGATTGTTGTTTTGAAAGAGCTGCATTCTGTGGAAAGAATCCACAGGACTAGGGTCAGGTACAAACTCTTGTACTTTCCTAAATTTCTCTTTTGTTGAACAGCCTGTTTCTTTTCTGGTTGTTGGTAAGGGTAGGAGAATGTTTAGAAAGGGAACGGCCTGAATGTTCTGTTTATGCTGATCAATGTGTATAATAACAGAAACACACTCAGTGCTTAACAATACAAATAATTTGCACCTGAAATTCATTTGCTTAGTCCCTAGGAGCCCGACAGAACCACATGTTTGTAACAAATACACCTGCGCTGGCGATACCATTGCATGAGAGAAGACAAATGTTGGTTTGCAGTCCAAAGGAAGTCAGGGAGGAATTTTGAGAAACTTAACATCTAGTTTGGGTTTGCTATTTCCCAAATGTACTGTTTTTGGATGGCGTGGCTTTCTTCTTGCTGGTATTTTTGTTGTTCAGCTGAAATGCCTGTTGTTGTTTTGTTTTTCACTAGTCATTTATGCCTACTGAGCTTCCAAGCCTTTATTTAAATGTGACATCTTCCATAAAGCCTCTCCTCTCTCCCACCCTACCAGTGAGAATGACCTTGGCACCCCTCTTATGCCCTTCCTAGCTCGTGATTACACTGTATTGGAGTTAGTTTGTTTCTGTGACTGTAAGGTCAGGGCTCTGCTTTATGTATCAAACTCACTCCCTAAAATACTTGCAAGGTCACAATAACAAGAATGTCTGGAAACATCTCACTGCCATCAAGTCGAGGCCGACTCATAGTGACCCTATAGGACAGGGAAAACTACCCCTGTGGGTTTCCTAGAGTGGCACTCTTTAGGGCCTGAGAGAGCCCTGCCTTTTTCCCAAGGAGTGCTACTGGTTTTGAACTGCTGGCCTTGCAGTGATCAACCCAACTCCTAACCACGATGCCACCAGGGCTTCTTGTGGGTAACCACTATGCCACAGGGCTCCGTTCCAATCACTAACATTTACCCTGTTAACCACGTAGAAGCACCCCATGGCTCCTGTCCAGAAACAGGAAAATACATAATTAAATAATGTTTATCACACATTTCAAATCATACCCAGAATACATTTTCTTTCGTTCT